GATGAGGACAATGATGCCCTAGCTCAAACGCTAGCTCCGGCCGTGCTGCTGCCAAGTCTTTCTGAATACATGTCGCAGAAGGCAAACTGTGGGGAATGCAAGCGACGGTGCTTCTGCAAGTGCCCTTGCAGACGGGCGGCAATGGCAATGCCTGGCAAGACACTGGTCTGCACGTTTCATGGCGCGATGGAAAGCCGAGCCTGTCGTGTAGGAGAGCGGATCCGCAGCACGCGGGCCCGTGGCGTTCACGAGGATGGAGGCCACGGCTGCCACCATGAGGAGGATGATGATGAAGCTCGTGAGCCTCTGCGCACGATGCTGCGGAGAGAGTTCCTTTCCGGCTTAGGCCCTTGCACACTCGTGCCGGTGCAAGCGAAGCGGCTGCATGAGGAAGAGCATCAGCAGGGTGGGCTTGGGCGGTTTCTCCAACTCGTTCAACCCATCTCTCTCGAGGATCTCCTTATTCGGGAGACAAAAAGCCACCGGGCGGGAAGGGCTGCAGGCAAGTCCTGGTTTGGGGCCTGGGGGACAGGCCGGGGAAATAAGTGAAGCTACTTGTTGAGGCACAAGCTTCGGCCGCCTTTTTGCCTGTGAGGCCCTTCTTCAGGTTGGTCTTGTACTGCTTCGCCAGCGCCTCAATGTCCATCTCCTCGGTTCAATTTTTCAGAGGGTAGGCCCTAAACATGCCACTATGCTGTTCCGGTGCTCCTGAACTCACCGCTTGGTACCTACAAGTCCTTGGGCTCTCGCAGCATCCTCCTTTTGCTTGGCATCCTTGTCGGACGCCTTCGGCTTGGCCGACGGCTTCTTGAGGTTTTTCTGGGACCTCGGGCAGACGCACAGACCCGTAGCTGCCAGCCTCTGCCATGGCAGAGGCATCATGCGAGTCTGTGCCGTTGAGGCGCATGGCGGCAATGCGGCAATGGGCCAGGCTTAGCTCAGCTCTCTTGCCAGCGCAAATGCTGCGGGCGCGCAGAGGTCAAGCCCCAACCACTCCCTCGAGCACAAGAGCCAGCGCCAAATCCACTCATGCGTAGCTGCTTAGCTGATCCAAGTTGGAGAGCAGCGAAAACAGGCACACTTGACCCAAAGACATGCTGGCAAACTGGAGGTGAATCTTGGTGTATCTATTGCCACATAACCCCCAACCTGCCATGAACTGCACGCAAAGCTACATGTGCGAGATGTCGGAATTGGCAAGTCGTTACCAGTGGACGGGATCCGAAATACAGCTGGCCCAGAAATCATACCGACGGCCCCGACGTGTCGGGTCCACCGCGAGGCCACGGTCATACGCAGCCAAAGCATCGCTGTACTGGACACGGTATGTTCTTCCATGCCTACCTAAGTCTGTGCAACTGAGGGAGTCATCTGCATGGCTGTTGGTTCCTTTGGGCTCTGGGGCTTGTCCTCGGGGGTTTTGAAGAGGCCACCTGACGATTATCATGCACCCAGTCTAATGACTAATGCAAGAAAGCTTGAAACACTCCAGTGATCTTGTGCTGCACGCATTTTTGCCAAGGTCGGGCTTCCGCCGACATTGCAGCAGATGCCTAGTGTACCTCCATGTCAACACCACATGGCCATGCAGCCCGGGTTTGAAAGTGCGTTCGGTTTCAACACACGCAGATGCAGCACGCTTACCTCGAGCCTCGAGCTCTCTGCTGCAATTCGACCCTGGCTGCTGCACTGCTAGGCTGTAAGAGGATGCATGTGTATGTATACGGTGTACGCATATATGTACATCAGTGTAACAAAAACCATACAAATATTCGCACCGCCAGGCATCTTCTGCAGCAGGCCGAACATCTTACAGGACTGTCTCATACTGTCTCCCACAGAGTGCACAGCACGCAGTGGCCCTATGAGCTCTGATCAGCATCTTCTGTGCTGAGCTTGTTAAATGCATAACCGTAGCCGTGACCTGTCGGGCCACGTTCGGCCACGAGGTGTTCTAGCAAACAGCTCACGCTGCATGCCAGGAGAGGCAGGAAAACAAAGCCCAGCACCAGCGTCATCAAAAATACCCTAAATACGTCAGAGATGCCTGCTCCGCAAACGAGGTTGTAGAATCGAGTCCATTGCGGTGCCATGCGTGCGGGCTCCATGATATCGCTAGCCGTACGCACTTCAGTTATCATTGCTCTCAGGTTCTGCGAGACATTGGCAGCATCCCACGCAGGGCAGCTTCGCTCGATCGCCTCACCATAGGTGGTTACCCACGTGTCCCACGAGGACAGACGCATGTGCAGGACATGGATGTCGTCTATGGCACCAATTCTGGTGGCATTGCGAACGTACTGTAAGGTCAGGTTCAAGGCTGCTGACCTCCCAAGCTCGCCCCGTGCATAGTTCAGGACGGTTCTCTCAGGTCTGCTGCACTGCGCACTTGACAGCACAGCCAAAAGGAGCTCCGCAGCAGCACAGCCCGCAACGAGGACAAGCACGGGGGCTATCAAAGTAGAGGCTAAACATGGGAGCTGGAACCAGCGGCATCTGTTCGCAAGTTTCGGGCCGGAATACTCGGCAATAAAGACCAAGACCGCCGCAGCAACCAGGCAAGCCATCAGACCTGCAAGTGGCAGCAACTGACACCACGCCAAAGAAGCCACCAGCGTCTGGCTTTTAGAAGCCAGCGCCGCCAAGAGATCTGGAAGATCTTGCAGCGTCTCGTCGAGCTTTGCCAAAGCCTTCCTGGCAACGTGAAGCTCTTCTTTCCGCTGGGCAATGGAGGACCCCAGGAACTCATGCGTCGTTTTGGGACACTCTGAGTACAGCCGGTCCAGGTTGTGAGCAAAAGACTTTGTCGTAACATTCATGGCAGATGTCATGTCAGCAACTTTCCACGCTTCCGAAGCCAGGGAGGTCAGCACAACGCTGGCCTGAGAATGACTTTGCGAACTGTACAAGTAGAAGAACCCCAGGAAGATGCCCATCACATTCGCGCCACCCAGAGCTGCTAGCTGTATCCATAAACGTCTCGCGGTGCTTGTGGAGCCGTAGGTGGCCTTCAGATGCACCTGGCGTCAAAACTACGTGCAACCCACCGTTGATGAGCAGCTTGGAGCGACTATGTTATCTGCCTGCGCGTCTTCGCAGTGATTCGTACATGTTCGCACCATAAAACCTTCGCTCAAAAAAAATAGGACAGCACCAGAGGACACCACGGCAACAAAACTCCCGTTTTCGTTGCACCCTGAACCTCGCAACTGGAAGGGGCACCCCAAAAAAGCTGAAAAGGTGAAGGCCCGGCCTTCACCAGCAGCAGGCCAAGAGCGAGAGCTGTAGCGAGCCCAAGACAGAAGACCAGTCCCGGAAGCCTCAGGTTCCGCGCCCAAAAGCTCTTCCATGAGCCTTCCGAGGGCCAAGTAGCCCCGAACTCAGCCAGAAAGCCCCTCAGCGACATGGCCGACGGAGCTCCGACTCATACTCCGCCACTTGCTACGGACGTCGTGGATTGCTGCAGCTGGCTACATCAAATAACAAACTGGAAGCTCTTCTTACAGTCAGTTTTGGATGCTTTGCACGTACGAAGATGTTGAAACTCTGTCGGAGATGGGCACCAACAGGCATAACGGCGACATACAGAAGACCAACATGCTCAATTTCGCCTTCCGATTCCTGGTCGCTGGGCTACAACAGTGGCGGCTACTGACCTCTGCCCTTGTTGTGTAAATCCTTTGTGGAAACTTTCGGCGATGGTTTGTGCCCCTCAGTCCCAGCCTCCGCTGCCATGGCATGCAGCTGGCCCTTGCGTGCCCAGGCCTCCGGGAGGGGTGAGTCGAATGCTTTCGCAGTGATGCGGTATTGTCTTTGAGCGATCATCCCTGGCTGAGTGCAGCCTTCGACCGCTCTTGTGTTCACGCTGCAGCATTAACGCCACGTCGCCTTGCATCTTCGATACATGCTGCGGCCTGATCTGAGTTACTGCACACCTGTGACCCTCCAAACATTGTAAAGTAGATGAAAAGTTGAGCTGCTGCGGGAACCTTAGACCTGACCACTGTTGACATGTGCTGGAAACAGCCTTGCCTGCAGTTTGTTCAAGAACCAACTGGCACGAGGCACCATCAAACCGGATGTTGTCTCGACTGTCTCCGTGCTGAAGTTATGTTGCATAAAATGTTTGCTATTTCTGATTGCGAGACGGGTTAGACAAAAATCGGCCTTGGTGTACTTGGCATCCAACTTCAAGCTCTCGCTGAGATCGTTCATGGAGTTGGTAAAGTAAGGATTTGTGCCTCAGAGGTCTCTTTACAAGGCTCTGCTGCGCTTCAAAATTGCATGCTTGGGCCCCAGCGCAGGGCCGCCGGCGAGAGCCCCTGCCCAAACTCCGACAGCATGGCCATCTGGGCCTCAGAAGTCTCACACCAAACCTATGAGCGGCTGAAGCTGGGTGCTGGAGCTGGATCGGAAGCGAGAGCCGAGTGCCCCAGCAGCTGCGCGGTTTGCCCAACCTGGGACTCTCGGCAGCGCCTTCCCCCACGGAAGCACCACGTGGCTGGGCCAGCAGCATCTGGCATCGCTCGAGTCGGCTCGAATCGCCTGGTTCATACAACGGATTCCCAAAGAGACCTAACCTTCTTAACACATTCCCACAGCTCGAGACCTCGTCATAAGCGCGCACGGCCTTGGAATGGCTGCCTTCTCCTGGCACAGCAACATAACGGTGGCATTCCGAAGGTGCCGCAGTCAACAAAGAAGCAAACAAGTGCATCGCTTGGATGGCTGATTGATTGGAACATATGGCAACTCAACATCCTACCCGATGACAGACAAGCAAACTTGTCTTGTGCCGGGGTGCGGAACAAGGAATTGCCCTTTTCTCGCAGCTCCTGACACGAGCAGAAAAAACTTTGCTTCCAGATTCGGCCTGCCAGCAATAAGCGCATGCCACAGTTCAGACACGGTGCTTCGGCGGATTTCCCTTGAGCTGGCTTTGTGCCTGTGACGGAGGCTGCTCGCACCACACCATGAGAGTTCACCGCTCCGCCCAGGCCTTCCGCCTTCGAGCTTGTGGCCTTCGCGCGGGCCTGCGAGAAGGCCCCTGCCTCAGAGGAGAAACCGGGGCTGCTTCAGCCAGTCAAGGGCCATCCATGGCCTCTTACGGTCACTACTTTCTGCATGTGGGCAGCTTGCGCGGGGCCGTGTTGACTCCTCTGTGAGCAGTGAGACAAGTCCAGACGCTGTGGCGCCTGGTCTACGGGCTCGGTCTTCTTCCCATCCGGGTGATGGTTTCAGTCAGTGAGACATGTCCACCAGCACCGGCTCACTCCATTCTGCCATGCCCAGCTGGTTAATGGCCGCCACCTGCACAGCTCTGAACCCACACCGGAGCGACGAAATATTCTAGCCTCAGAAGTGCCTCAGGCTTACGCCTCCCTTTCAGGATCGCACCCTCAACCGCGCACTCTCAACGAAGCATTGGTACCTGGAAGTGGTACTTCAGCTTTCGCAGATGGCGGATGTCGCAAGTGTCAAACCCTTTGTCCCGGACCTTGCGCTCAACTTTCGTAGCTGCTCTTCGACTATTCCTTGACTGAATGTTTTACAAGGCGAGCTGCGACGGCTGGAACAGCCTCCACGGCATCTGCCATGTCCTCAAAAGATTGTACATGCGCTTCTGCGGAAGCTGCCGTCCGAGCAATAGCCCAGCAGCCCATGTGTAGGCACATGGGCATCGAACTTGAAATTAAACGATCAAACTGTTAATGACGCGGGTTGGCTCTTCCCCTGGAGCTACTCCCGTGCTTCGCAAAAGTAGATTTTTTGCAGCCGACCCTGAGGCCAAGCAGTGCGGCTCCTACGCATAAACCAGCTTCTCAAACCTCAACTACCTTCGGCATCCTCTGTGTGCGCATAGCGGAGGCGATAGTCTGTGATGGGATAGCCATTTTCCTCCACTGGCCGCCACCTCGTCAGAAACCAGGGAAGGACAGGTTTCGATTCTAGTTTCGCACTTCTTTTTCGGAGATCCCTTTAAGACAAAAATCTGCCTCATAAATTAATTATGCCCGAGCACTGGAGGCGAATAAAGGACTGGTAGATCTCTGAGGCCCGGAGGTCTTCGATCTGAGAAGGTGTGGCTCCATCCATGGTTCGGACTGGGATGCTGCTATCGCTCCAGATCCCCATGCCGTACTTGTTCCTTCGGACCCATGCAGGCAGTCGCCAAAAAAAACGACAAGAGCTTGAAAAGCTGTGCGAAGAGCTTGTTCTATGTGAGAAAGCGATGCGGCCGAGGTTCACTGCCCTGACTTGGAAGATGTAGATGTGGCCCGGCTTTAGGCCCTGAATAACATACTGGGAAAGCGTGGGCGGCACATCATGAATCTCCACCACCTCACTGCTCCAGTCCGCTGACCTTTGCTGGACTGCAAGAAACCTCTTCAAGGTGCACGAAGCACTGTGCTGCATGCTTGCCATCCTGTTTCGTTACCATGCCGTCAAATGCCAAAAGTCATCTTCATTGCTGAGCCACGGGGTGTGGCGGAAGCGGAAGGACAGCACGGGTGCCTCCGAGAATGGGGGATGTTGCCACTGTATGACCTCAAGGACGCGTGACATGTGCATCCATCTGCTTGGGAGAAGTCACCGCCACACTTCTGTGTTGCACAGAACGTGACATGCATTGCAAGAGCGCTCTAACGCTACAACTCTGTCCGCTCACCTTCGCAGTTGAAGAAACTGCCCATACCCACATGACCGATGCTGCCATAGAATACATTCACACATAGAACATCAGTCTCAATGTTGTCAATGTGTCAATGTTTGTAGGATGTAATCTGCTCCATCGTCTCCTACTCAGATCAATTAAGCCACTGCCGAATGGTGCGTTGCCCTTCTCAGCGTCGGCTGATTGAGAGTCATCGGCACCGGCGGCACGGTCTGTATGGGCACCGTCGGATCAGACAGCTCACTCCAACCTGTGGAGACAGGCATCGGTCGACGCGGCAGATGAAAAGCCCCGGCCTGCAGCATTCTCTGCTGCAATCTGAAAGGTGTAGTCCGTCAAACTCTCCAAATCGGTGACGACATAAGAATCCGTTTCATCGGTTACTATGATCCTTGGATGTACAAGACCGTGATTCAGGCTGTGCCTGCTGCACATCGCACATTCCTCCACACAATAGCTTCAGCAACTTTCCATGTCTAGACAGAACTCTCTCGGGAGCATTCCGCAGGATCCTCGCCAGCACGAGGCGCCCAGGTGACCAAGATCATGTACCTCTGGATCTTCAGGCCCGGTGAGACCTGATCCAAGGCAGACAGCCCCGCCATTTGTACGGATGGCGTGCAGCCACAGAGACAGCAAAGAATCAAGGACGCGTCACACGTCAACCCGCGATTGAGAACGAAACCAGCCAGCCCCAGCTCAAACTAGACTGACAAGCGGGAACGTCTTGCAGCGGCAAAGCATGAAATCACGAGGCTGCAACGCCTGATGGATCCTGCTCTTCTGCAGACAAGAAAGCTCCATTGGCTTCCTCTTCTGTCAAGTTGCTGTGGCACAGTCTAGTGGGGGAGTCCAGCGCACCTTCACCTGTCACCGAACGAAAAATTCAAGTGACATTGAATTGGTAGCCATCCTTCGCGTTTGTCATCATGCAGATGAGGGGCCGAGGACACATCGAGCACCCGTGGCAGGAGAGCAGCCAGCTTTCCAGGAGGCTGTGGAGGAGGAGCCTCGGTCACAGCTGAAACCAAGACCACTCGAAGTCCAACCGTTGCCATGCCATCCCATGTGCCTCGCACTGCGCCGCCACGCTCCAGTCCGACCAGCCCTTGCAGGACCACGCAAGCTTCACTCGCCCAATGCGAAGAAGTCACTCCCCTCGCCTCGGGAGTTTGGATGGCCACTTTGAAGTCGTGCAGGAGGCCTCGGCCAGCCCACTTCCGGAGCCTCCTCGCTCCGATGATACGGTGGCCAAGGCGCCGAAGTCGAGGTTCGCGAGGGGCAGCTCACGCGTGAAGTTGCGAAGTTCGAGCTCCACCCAAGCAGCACCCTCATCGAACTCGCCTCAGCACCACAAGATTTCGCACGATGAGCCCTTCCAATCGTAAAGCCATGTCGAGTTGCCGCTCGGATCCTCCTTTATCGCCTTCGTATGAGGCCGATATCTCAGTCTCCATCTGCAGACCTGCTCGGCAAGCAAAGAAGGCTGGCAATTGACGTGAGACTGAGAGCAAGTGAAATGGTTCCCTCAGCTGCAAGTTGTGCCTCGTCCTCCTCTGCCCAACGAGGGAGGACCTTCATGAGATGCAGCACATTTCAGAAGCCACTAGCGCCGCTTTTCAGAACTGCTTTCTTTTCGGGCTTGAAGAGTGCAGAACCGAGGGCCTTCACCCCGCCAGGTGGCACTGGCAGCACGATCGGAACTGCTGCCTTCGGCAGGGACACCGGCACCATGTCGAGCTCCATCGTGTGGCCTTTGGGATTTTGGAACCAAAGACAACTCGCCCCTCTCCATGTTCTTCCATCTTCCCCTTGTGTGGCAATCCAGGCCTCTTCTGCTTGGCAGATGCCAACGGATGGTTCGCACAGGCTAAAAGTAGCACTGCTGCTCTTACGAAAGAGCTTTCCTGTGGGAGTGTTGTCCCGTCCCGGTTGGCTTGTCCCTGATATGTTGCTAGGGCTAGAAAGCCTTCATGCCACCACTTGAGCCACGGAAGGCTGCTCGGAAGGCAAACAGGTGGCAGCGTCGGCTCACCAACTAGAGGGCAACTACGCAACCAGGAGATGCTGCCTTCAGCCCGGGATGCTAAGGTGCTAGGATCCTCTCCGAAATGCCTGCAGCATCTAGGATCTGGGTCCCATGCTCGTGCGCCTTTGGCTGGCGCTTTCACTTCTTCCCCAGAGGCGTCCTGAAAAACGCGGCGGCTCTACTCTACTTGGCCGGAAGCCTTTGCTCAAGTATGGCTGCAAAGGCACACCCAAAGAAGTCGCATACGGCACAAGGGTCAATGTTGCGAACCCTCATTGGCAAGCGCTTCCTTTGTCGCCTCCTTCACCGGCGCCTCCGTGGGCGGTTCTTTCACGACAGCCTGCGTGAAATCTGCATCTCCCGCAGTATTCAATGAGCTGATCCAGGCTTCGGGTGCCTTTGGCTCCGGCTGCTCTGGAACCCAGAAATCATCGCCTGACATCAAGACCCTCGCCAAGCAAGCCATATCCTGGCTTCCCCTACTCGCATGCTGCATGGTTGCTGCAGGCTTCCGTCCCCTAAAGCCTGGCGCAGTGTACTCTTTCATCTTGGCAATGGCCTCCAGCAGTACTCTGTCCTGCACGGAGAACTCCACTCTCTACGTGCAAAACTTGTGTCTACACACCACATTAGAGTGAAGCAGCTGCAGGTGCCTGTCCATCAAGCTTCAATCCCTCCTCCAATGCAGCCATCGCCTGTCTCACAACATTGCGAAGCAGCCACGTCAAAAGTGCAGGGAAATGCGACTGTTTTTTTTGCACAGCCTCGTTGTAGCGCCCCAAGTGGAACAGAGCCTCTGGTCTGGAGACCGGGTTGAAAATGGGCTACAGCTAAACATGATCGCATCACGGCCGCATGATCGAGGCGAGGCTTTGCAAGATTGGAACCAGGCATGGCCGCGACGATGGTACCTCGCAAAAGCTTGCCACACGATGGAGTCAATGTAAGTCTGCGAGGCTATGAGGCTATGCAGTCCCAACGCCCACATGGCGCACAGGCGAGACCAGCCAGGGCAAAGCTTGAGGGCCTTGTCTGCATCCAGGAGCGCCTCTAAGTGGAGGCCAAACCCCACGTGGGGGGAAACAATGGGCACGACTTACACCTCCACATTGCAACAAACTACGGCCTTGTCAAACCGTCGCCGCTGCGCGTAAGTCGCCGAGCGGTTTGAAAGGACGACCTGCTTCCGAACGCAGCGCAGTCAGACTTCTGTCGATTTGGTCGTCTAGTACTGCGAGTTTACACTGCTGTCGATCCAGTCTGGCATTTTCGCTGCAGCTTCTAGTGAATAGGATTGCGATCCAAGGGACGGCATCCGGAGTGCTTTCCAAGGCTTCTGAATAGCACTCCTTGTCAGCGCGGAGACCGCGACATGCAATGACTTTGGACCGGCTTGCGTCCAAGCTGCTGTTGCGGCTGCGAAGTCCCGGCCGGCATAAGCCTGGTGTTGTCTCATGGGACGCAGTTAGACTCAGTTAGACAAACTGAATGCCGCTGCATGAATCCCAGCGTTGTCTGTGCATGATGTGTCCAGCGCTGTTTTGAGATCGTAAATCTCGCAAAACAAGGTTGCGGTCTAGGCCCTGTTCGGCAAACCCTGTGTCGTTCGCTGATCAGGGATGGGACTGGGAGGCCGGGCTTTACAGCACGAGGCCTCAGGTGAGTTAAATAGGCCCTTAGGCGGAGCGGAGCTCCGGTCTCCAAGTAGCCAGTCGGTCTGGCAACTTCAACTGCATCCCGGTGTTGAGTTGGCTCCGAGAAGGGGCTCTTCTTGTACCTCCGTGGATACAGGTCTTTGCTGAGTTCAACTGCGAAGGTTGGAGAAGACTTCCCAGAAAGCGGAAGTCCTCTCGGAGGAGCTTCTGCAACTCATTCCGGAAAACAGGATGCATCCTGGGGAAGCCAGCAACTCTGCGCGGGGCCGGCGCGCACTGCACCGAGGCAACCCCCGTCTGCGAAACGAAAGAGGGTATCAAAACCCGATTCAACGCTGCTGCTTCACCGAGGCCATGAGGGCCTCCTGCAGGGTAGCCTCGCGAGAAGAGTTTTGCGGGGCTAGCTGCGCGTTGCTTCTTTTCGGTCGCCTTGGCGACCTCCGAGGTCATGGTCTTCGAGGAGCCGCCGGCTTCCAAGGCCTTCCGACCCTCCTGCCGAGAGACCGCGAGCAAGGAGCACTAGAGTCACTAGAGTCACTGGAGATGCCCGCGGCTCGGCTCCTCTTCGAAGATCTCGCCCAGTCTCTGTAGCGCCTGAGAGCGCCGCACCCGGAGCTGCCAGGGCACGGATTTGTCCTGCGCAGCAACGCAAGCCTCAAGCTTCATCGAACTTCGACCCGCTGCCGTGCTTCCGACAAGCTCCTTCAAGAGCTTTCGACCTATCTCTTTCACTGTGGAGTCGATGTCCGTGACGACAGCCGCCTGCTAGACGTTTCCGCTGACGCAGTCGCTAGTCTGGCACTAGTATAGCGCAGCTTGGTGACCCAAGCCGTCTGTAGAAAAAGCGGGAGTGCTTCGTCCAAAGCCTTCTCCACCTCTAGCCACACACTGCATAAAGCCTGTCTTGCTTTTCTGTGCAGTTGCTAAGTTCCCAGCAGCTGCTGCTGTCTGTGCCACCTCCTCTGGGGTTGGCTCCGGTGGGCTTCCGGCGCTTGGATCACTTTCGCCGGCACTGCTCGGAGGAGTGGTGCCAGCTGCAGTGACCGCAGTTGCCTGAGGCAAGAACGGGCAATCAAGGCCAAGGCTTGAAGGCCCGAGGCATCGAACCTCTGCAATTTTACAATCGAAGCCTTGGAAGCGTCGTGCACGCGCTTGACTTGGAGGAGGCTCGTCGCAGCATTCCTGGGCCAGTATTTCACCGATGAACTAGTGTGGAAAGCAGGCGGGACGATACCAAACGCTGTAGGACGGCCGGGAAGGATCACTGCCGAGGGGCGAAACAAAGCTCATCTTGTGCCGGAAAGTCATATCTGAGATTGAAACGAACCACTGAGCAACAAACCGGCCATCGGGCGAATCGGCTGCGTCTTCGAGCGCTGCGGCACTTTATTATGCATACAGGGGGCGGGAATGCTTCCATGCAGCCTGAGTGTGACAGGTGGAATCTTTAAACTAACACACGGCTGCTAACAAAGCCCGTCTGCAATAGCTGCTTCGCCAATTCTCTGCCAGGCAACCGCCTGTTTCGTTATGGAAAACCGGCCGACCAATTCATCGGCCAGGTAAATTTCGGAGCGGAGCTTGTACATCCTTGAATACATTAAAGTAAGAAAGCATCAGTCGGGCCAAACATCACAGGCCTTCTATTCTCGCCTGAGCCAATGTGCAGCAGAGCTACGAGCCCAAAGCCGACAAGAGCTCTGGACCTAAGAAAATGTCAAGCTCGGTGTGTGGGGGTCTAGGTCCGCGACGCAGGTACTTTCGTCCAAGGCACCAAATTGGCACTTGGCGAGCTCCGCTGCCTCAAGTCTCGCTTTCCTCAGTCTCTGCGTCTCCGCGATTTAGTTGCACAGCTCCCCAAGCAGTGCCACGCTGCTACGACACGTCGCCTGTTTCCCCCACTTCTTGTCCAAGCAACTGTTCGAATTGCGACACTTCCCGCCTCCACCGATGGCAGACTCATGAAGTGCACAGAGCCAGGCACAAAGCTCGTTTGAGCACCGAGTAATGCCTGTAGACAAAGTCGTTCAGGAATTCGCGCAGGTACACTGCGCAGTGCACCTTCACGCAAAGTTGCTACAAGCTACAAAATCAGCCTTTCCAGGCCAGAGGCCTTCACAAAAGATAGTGGACTGGAGTGAAGGGTGAACAAGGAAGGTGATCACTCTTGCAAAACAGATGAAGTGGTCACAGGACGACTGCGAAAATGGAACTTGGAGAAGGAAACCTGCCACTTGCTCCTCGCACTGCCCGGCAAACATGCACTTAGCCTCGCGGTGCAGCTGACGCCGCTTCAAGATTTGTGAGTTGTCACTGAACACCTGCGATGCATGCTCGCAGGAACACGAAACCATCTGGTTTGCATATGGCATATGTCCCCGCAGGAAGGACAGAAAAGTACTGCGAAGTCAAAGTTCCGTAAAGCGGAGCATACCCTTCCCCGAGGCAGCAGCTGCATCGTCAGCTACGTTGCCGCTGGCGTCAGCAGGATCTAGGATGCCGCCTCGATGTGCCGGCGCTTAAGCAGGCAACTCTCGGAGGCCAAAAGATCCCTGTCTCGTACCTTCCTTTTCCATGGCTTTAGCAAACTGGTCAGTTTGCATGGCCAGATGCCTTCACAGAGCATACCCATGAAAAATCAGACTCTGCGATCTCCTTGTGCTTGGGTGCTGACAGCTCCCCAATCCAGGGTTCGAAGCGCTCGGAACCGAAAAGCAAGCTGAAAAATGTGGAGGGGTCCATCTTCACCTCGGTGAACACTCTCAGCTTGCCAAGAAATGGTTCCTGGTCCCGGCTGGGGTCCGAGTCCCAAGCATTGCCCTCCTTTATGCCAGCCTTGCCCTCCTTGTCATACTTCTTCCTCATCGCGAGCCGCGAGCCAAAGCCAACAAGGGGGGAGGTCAAAGCGCATGGCACTTAACTGCTGCTAGGAGGGTCCTTGAGTCAGGATCAGACAGAACCTGGAGAAGCAGGGGCGACGTAGTCTCTCGTCTCACACACTTCTGCTCTGACGACCTCACCTGATACGCATCCGCCAGCTTCTGAAATTTGGTGTTTGCCTGAACGGCACAGCCACAAAAGCCATAAAAGCAAGAGTCCAGGACGTGAAGCACCGATCGAAACCGCTCGCGCACAAACGTCCGTGGGAACATCCGCACCTCAACTTGAATCAAGGCCCGCGGCCCAAGCCTACGCCCGAGCTTCAATACCACTCGGATGAGCCCGTCTGAAACATCGTTCGACCGATCAATGACTGCACTTGCCTCCGCATCACCCGGATTCTTGTCGGGATGACAAGCCCTTGCCTCCTGCTGCGTGCTGGGATGGGCTGGGCATGCTGAAGCTGTTTGGGAACACACTGTGGCATTTGAAGCCACGGAGATAGTGAAGCTGGGATCGGGGGGCTTGGGCAAGTCGAAACTTGATGGTCGCGGCTGCCAAGGCCAAGTCGGCGCCTTGTAGTATGCCTTTTTGATCTCGGCGGCAGTCGCAGACGGCTTGACACGCAAGAGGTCGTAATACCTGGGTCAAACTGGCCAAATCTTGGACACCCAGAAACAGCCACAGCAGCCTTCACCTCAAAAGACTGGTGGCTCAGCAGCAACATGTGCAAGTGGAGAGCTTGTGAGTGGCCACGAAAGTTCTGATCTTACGGTCCAGATTCAGGCGTGGACATCAGTGACCCACGAGCGCCACTGAACTCTGAGTGGTGTTCATGGCAAATCCGAGACCAAGAACCGATCGTAAGGAAAATATGCGGATGGATTGAATTTGGCGATCTGCACCGGGATTCTAGTGCCCGTGGGCATGCGGCAACTGGCACTTCTCAGATCCACGGATGCTGTGGTCAATTGCGGCTCAAACAGACAGCAAATGGCCGATTCCCTCACGCTCAGTCCAAAAGGCTCCGTCTCCTTGACAGAGGCCGAGGGAGAGTGGCTGCCGCTTGCTCCACCCTCCTCGTCATCAGATCCTTCAGCAAGGACCTGCGACCAACGCTGCCCAGAGCACGGCCTAAGTGCCAACAGAAGAGCTGCTCAGAAGCACTATTGCTGTGCCTGCTCCTCAAGTTTGACCAGGTCAATATCCACCTCAGCTGAGTTCGACTTATGTCGGCTACCCAGGACTTCTCCCTCACCCGTACAACCGAAAATCCAATCAGATAATCAACTACCGGAATCATGCGGAAGATCCATAACCCACTGATCAGCCTTGGCCCCCATCCCCCTTGACTTGCAGCCTCAGCACCCACTGCCCAAGCTCATCGTCCCACACTCTCTGTTCACGGCGTCCACGCATGGCCTGCAAAATCACGAGCGTCATGAACGGACATGCTGGAAAAGGCACCGTGCCTCCGGTGTGTTGGCAATACCTCGCCCAATCTGGGCAATTCCACCTGAACTAGAAGCGATGTGCGACCAAACGTTGTGCCGCACAGTGGTCAGGGTTTTCGATTGCAAAGAAAGCGGCATGCAGTTCCTGCCACGGCGACCGCAGCACCTGTCCAGGTAACAGTATTGCTTGCGCAATGACCAGGCGGATGAAAACTGTGGCTTTTCCTTGTTTAGTTGCATCGATTTCCATCTTCAGGCCTGTCAAGAAACCGCCCCTGCAGCTGCGCCACTTCATGCACAATCATGAATTTGGCACTGGCGTCTCACAGTCACAGAACGGCCTGAGACCAAGCCAGCACCCAGGCCCTTCGCCATGCCGAGGCCACCTTCCAGGTGCCAGCACCCAGGCCCTCTGCAAGGCTGGCATCTCCAGGCCTCCCGACTGGTAGCCGGAGTATCCACCCACCACCACGCTTCCAAGGCCGGCTACCACGCTCGTGGTCGCCGTCGACAAGCCCCTCCTGAGAGCACTCCCGATCTCACGCGATGTCCGCTAGACCACATGCACAACGCCATAATATGCCATACAACGCTCCAGCAAGACCTGAATGGTCCAAACAGATCCAAGCAGTCACCATTACTTCAACTGAGGTTCCATAAACCATCTGCAGCGTCCTGTTTTCAAATTTCGCTCCGAACAGCTTACCGGCAGACCGGCATTACTAGCTGTCTACCAGCAGCCTACTATTGAGTCTCTGACGCGATTCAGCTTTGCTGCACTTAGCAGATCTTAGTGGCACTTCCGACGGGTCAGGGGAACGCAAGCTAGCCGAGGCTGGAGGGACGGCAAGCGATACAGAGCTGGCGAGGCGGGCTCCAGGCATCAGAACCGCATCAGTGCCAAGGAATGCCAAAAGTAGGTTGCACCCCGCGTTTACAATAGGGAAGGCACCTGACTATGCCAAAAAAGTCTGTTGGAGCAAACCCCAAAACAACCCTAGGGCAACGGAGATGGGACTCTGATGGCATCATCACCTCCGGCACATCCAACCAAGAGTCAGGACGGGGGGGAGGGTGGGGGGCTGTGTTCATCGATATATATATATATACACATATATATATATATCAAGTCTTTTGCGTCTGGGCCGGCGGTCCCGGCCCACTGCTTACGCAGATAGAAACGAAAGCCTCGCTGCGCTAGCTTTCATCATCGGGCACACTGGCTAAGTGCCGGCCAATGCAATGCTCGCAACCTCTTTCCAGCAACATCTGGCGAGTAGATGCACCGATGCCGGGTTGGGCAAGGGCGCAGCCACCATGATAGCATCATCGCAACAAGCATCAAGTTTCTCTTTCGACGTCGCATGCCATGGCAGAGACAACCGATGGATGGAGGGACAACCTTAAACCTGGAAAACCTGGGCCCCGGATGTGTGATAAGGGTAGCCACTGATTAACATCTGATTAGCTTGAGACACCACAAGGGGAGTCGACAGATTGGGGTTGCAGAGGCCTTTTCTAGGGATCCTCAGAGTAAGCTCTAATTTACGCTCTATATTGGGGTTCGCATTTTCAATCTTCCAGCTTCTCTCCCGAGCCGTTGAGGCCTTGTGGCTACGGAGCAGACACGCCTGAAGCCAGATACCCCGAAGCTCTGAAAACTGTCCCTTGGAAATCCCGCGGTGAGGTGGTCCTATGTCAGGCTCCGTTTAGGGCATTTGCGGAAGAGCCTCAGGCGCGGGTTTCCCCCTGTGTAGTGTTGCTTCTGCCACCACCGGTTTCGGCTATCATGCAGTACCTATCTCGGCACTCAAGTCGTCGCCTCGAAATAGAGCATGGACATTCCATGAGGTTTGGAATTCAACTGTTCGGATGCTCAGCTCGCTCCAGCCCGGTTCTACTGCAAAGTTCAAACATACATTTTTCCAGTGCAATCCATGCCAAGACTGTGAAGGCCAGCGATTGCCTCAATTTCCTCTTCTTGACTTGACCCTCGCCTACATCCCAGGCAGGCCGAGGAGACCACCCAAGAAACCAAGACTCCAGACCAACGGACTCTGAGGAGCCCGCAGTTGCGAGGGACCTCGCATCATATGGAGAAACTTCTATTATCGGATCCTTAAGGGAGGGTGGTTCAAGCGGGGAGGGTCCTAGGGATGCTTAGGGAGCTTTAGGGAACCTAAGGGAGCCCTAGGGAGAATTGGGGATTATTGGGTTATATACATAAACGCCAGGACTTGAAGAAACATGAATGACTCTTGATGCATCAGACAAAAAATGTGCAG